GGCAAAGCTTTTGTAAGTGCAGTCGATGCTGCCGTCGACGCTGCAGTCGACGTTGAAGTTGGCGCAGCAGCAGCGAGTACGCTGGCTTGTGGCACAGTTTTATGTTTCATTTCATTGAACCTTTGCATAAGCAATTTTCCGCTCGCGCTCTCTTTCTAACGCCCATCTCTAGGCACTAGTCCCGTCTACCCATCCTAATCTCCGGGGGGTGGGGGGTAGTGGAAGGGCGACTGTAACTGACGCAAGTGGAGTGCATGGCATGGCATGGCGCTCAAATTAAAATGCAAGTACTAGTGATGGGCATGGGTCGGCACTGTTCAAATCACGCATGGCTAGCATTGCCCAACATGAAATTTATGGAGTACCGATCAATAAAGAAAGTAATATTTTTCAAAAGCTGCAGATTAGTAAAATATTTTATTACAAAAAATATATATTTATAGTCAAATTCATGTGATGAAAGACATTTTTTGTTCATGTTATGTTCAATTATTATGAACATGAATCATCTCTAGTTAGTGCTAGCAGTAGTGGGGTGGTGAGGAAAAGCGAGGGCTTGATGGAGGTTGCATTTCAACATTCCCCTCCCCCTTGAGCTCTGTTGAGTAGAGAGCTGCACGTGAGTGCAAAGCTTTTCCTTGGCAAAGCTGCCGGCTCAACAGCCTTCGACCTACTCTCCCACTCATTGACCCCGACGCCTCCCCCCACACTGCCATCCAGCCGGCAAGCAGAGTGCCAAGCCGGTCAATGTACAGCTGGCCTCGTCTGCAGTTGCATGTGTATTAGTGTTTGTGTAAGTGCACATTTGTACATATGCGTATGTGTATGTGTGTGCAACTTCTCGTCGGCCGTTGCATTTTCATTGAAATTCTAATTTGTATGCAGAACGGAACGGTTGAAAAAGTTTAGGCAAAGTTTTTCTATTTTCTACAGAGCGCGCACTTCATTGAAGTGTCACCAACAGCAGCCGTAAGGGGGGAGTAGAGTGGAGGGCGGCTGTGCATGAGTGGGAGTTAGTGGGTCCAGGGTGAAGGCGCTGCTGATTGAGTGCATCAGTGCTAGGAAAGAAGTTGGCTGGCGTTGGCTCTCTCCCTCTCTCTCTTTCTCTCTCTCATGCTCCTGTTTCCCCCACTCCCTTACTTCAAAATGACTTCCATGTGACAACAGCAACAACAAAAGCAACAGCAACTACAACAACAGCAACCACACAAATCTAAGAGCAATGCAAACGTCAAACAGCAAGAGCAACTACAGCGACGAGTGGCCGAACGAGCAAAGCAGCAACATAACTATGACGTCGCATTGCATACGTGTGTGTGTGTGTGTGTGAGTCCGCGCTCTGTATCTGATATGCATGTGTATTTGAAGCTTTTTTTTGTACTATTTGTCTATTGGTTTTCATTTTCGTTTGTAGTCGACGTTGACGTTAACGCCGACGTCGCTGCTGCTGTCGTTGCTGCCGACGCGACGGCCTGTCTAATAATGGGGCTATAAGTGTGACGCCGATCATAGTACGTCGTCGACGACGACGTCGTCGTCGTTGCTGCTACTGCTGCGACTGCGGCTGCGGAATAGTTGCGCGCTAGTTTTGTTGGCGTTGGCAGCGCTGGTGCTGGTGCTGGCGCTGGCGGCGATTGCGGCAGTGGCTCGCTGACTGACTGGCTGGCTGCTGCTTTCTTTCGCTCGCTTACTCCTTTCATTTCACTTTATTTCGTTCGAATGTACGCACGTTGGCCGCGGAACACAACACATCAAACAAAACAAGCAACAGCAGCAGCGGCGGCAACTAAAAAAAAAGAAACAAACAACAACAAATAACGCGACGCGGTGCGCAGCTATCGAAAAGCTAAACAACTTTTGTTTGTACCACGGTAGAGAGACGCAACAAAAAACCAAATAAAAAAAAAACAAAAAATACAAATAAACAAACCTAAAAGCCAAGTCCAAGCTTAAGTCCAAGCCCAGCATTCAGACACAGATTCAGCTACAGATTTAAAAGTTAGACTCTGTGGCTGCTGTTTGGTGTTTTTTTGGAGGAGTTTGGCTGAAAACAATTTATTTGATTAGAGAGTTCGACCTAATCTATTCTGGATATACATAATGAATACATAATAACACATATAATACATAAAGCCACCTCTACATATACGTACATACATAATGCATGCACATAGTTTTTGGATATATTTCGACATATAGTATGAATAATTGTTTTTGCTTCCACGAAATATCTATCATTCGATATATATAGGTACATATATATACATATATTTCATATCAGTTTTTGCTCTTGGCGCGAACTTTCTTTTGTAACAACAACGACAACAAAAAGAACATTAATAATAATAATTAAAACAACAATATACATATTTATAAAGTGTGGAGCTACGTTCTGTCGGTTTTACGGTCTTTACGGTCAGTCGGTCGGTCGGTTGGACGGTTGGTTCGGCGCGTTTCCGGAAACGCTGTGTTAGCCAGTAAGGATAACTGAGGATCTAACAAACAACAATAACAACAACAACCACAACAACTTTTATGCATTTTTTTTTCTGTGATTGATTTTTTTTCTCTGTTTATTGTGCTGCAACTCTCAGGCCCCCTATATCTTCATATCATGAGTATAGTTGTAGCCGGCCTTAAACAATAAAGTGCAACGATATGTGTGTGATGTTTTGTTAAATACATATATATATATTTACATACTTATATACATTTATTTGTATATAGTTTGTTACCACCCCTTGCCCACAATTAGTTTTGTTCTAAATGTGTTGTTTGTGCTGTTTGGAAAATTTGGATATAAACAATTAAAATCATAGCAACAAGTAAGCAAGGCATGCTTTGGTTAGCACAGGATGCATCCTAACTGGGCAGCAGGACTGGCCATGGCAACGCTGACACGCCCACTACGCCCCGCGTATCTGCTGCCCACCTAGAAACTAGAGAACAAACCGAGAGAGGGACAACCAAATGAATGCAAATCAAACGCCACAGCATCTGTCCGCGACGTCAGCCACGCCCTGCTCGGATCCAAAGGCGGAGAGCGCTGTTGCGGCTAAAGAGCGGGATCGAGAACGTTTGGAGGATCAGTCGGCGTGTGTGTGCGAACACCACAAGCCCGGTCATGTGGCATTATTGTCGAAGCAGAATGGCCAACATGCGCTTGACTGTCTCGAAACCAGAGGATCAGCAGCGGCGGCGGCAGCAGGAGCAGCTGGAGCAGGAGCTGGCGGCAATAAGTTGGCCATGAATGGTGACAAATGCCTGCCAATGACAACAAACGCCAGCAACAACAACAACAATAATAACAATAGCAGCAGCAACAACAACAATTATAGCAGCGACACTGCTGCCGCAACTGCGGCTGCTGCTGGCAGCGTCAAGGACGCGAGCTTGGATGCTGACAATAATAAGTTAATTATCATAAAGACGCCGCTTACGAAAACGCTGCTCAAGAAATGCAACAACAACAACAATAACAACAACAGCAGTGGCAGCAATGGCAATGTGGCAACGTCCAAGCCCAAAGCCAGCATCGACAGCAGCGATGCCAACGTCAACGCCGGCGGCAACGCCAGCGCCAACGTTAACGCCAACGCCAGCGCCAACGTCGACGACGCTGCTGGGGAAGGCGCTTTAAGTTTTGCTTGTGATTCCGGTTTCCAAAGCGGAAGTAAAAATGAACAAGAACAATTTATGAACGATCATCACCATCACCATCATCATCATCACCATCATCATTACCACCATCATGACAAGGCGGCAGAAGCAGCCGCCGCTGCCGCCGCCGCCGCCTCATCTTCATCATCACCTTCTGCATTTGGCAACGAAGCCAACAACTCCAGCGATGCTAATAATGATGTTGTTGTTGTTAACTCTTTGGCGGCAACAAATAATGCGCATAGAGAGCCAACTGGGGATGAGCATGATGAGCATAGAGAAGATGATCTTCAACAACAACAACAACAACAACAACTGCAACATCAAACTGATGACTTCCTTATAAAGGCGCCCAAAGCAGCAACAACAACAACAGGAACAACCAACACCACAGTTGCAACAACAGCCACCCCAGCAGCGGCAACAGCGGCGGCAACAACAACCACAATACAAAATGCTTGCAGCCAAAAGTGTAACAAATGCAACAGCAACAACAACAATAACATACATTACAACAATTATAATAATTATTATAAGAAAAAGTCACGTATGCCGCCCATTTGCCGTTAGTATTTTTTTTTTTGTTCTTCATATATCGCTCTAATCATACCACAAACACACACACCCACACACAACCACAAGCGCACACCCCAGCTCTGCTACTTCTACCCCTTTCTTCTTCCCATAACCGATAATTATAATAATGATAATAATAATAATAAGTAAAATGAAAAGGCATATCGTTTATAAACCCGAACCCCCCGAATCCATCCGATAACCGTAAAAGAACATTGAACTTTGACTCAGAACTGCATCGCAACAAATTTATGGTTTAAAGAAATCGTTATCGTTATCGCTATCGCTACTTCGTCCTGTTTCTCGCTCCTTAACGATAACGATTTCCACAAATTGAAACAACAAATAATTGGCTAACACACACGATCCTACACACACACACACACACAGCTCAAGAAATTTGAAAAAAGAAAAAAACAGCACCACTTCTGACCAGAAAAGAGAAAGCAAACCAAAAAGAAAACATTCAAATCCAATTGGCAAATTCAAGTTGGCACCGAACCTAGCGTTGTTGCCCAACACTGAACAGAGTGAGTTTGAATCATTTAGCGGGCGTCGCCTCAAAAATGCGGCGTCGGCCGCTTAAGACGACCACGCCAACATAAATGCTTCAAAATCGCCGGACAACAACAACAGCAACAATATCAATGTCCTTGCTTGATACAAACAAACAACAACAACAACAAAAACAGCAACAACAACAACACAACCGGCATCAAAATTATTGCGATACCTTTACAACAAATTTGAAAATCGACAACAAAATTATGACATCCATAGGTAAATTCTTACATATCCCATATACGCTCCGATTTAACCCTAAAATACTTACTACTAATCCCCAGAAAAACAGCAACCTTCTATATAAACTACTTATAAACCGCATAATGAAACCCAACAGCTCTGCTGATTACCGATTAATCAATCAATTGAACGTTTATAACTTCTCTCCTAGTCGTACTCGTATGTCTCTGATTTTCAGCTTTTCTTTCTGTTTAAAATTGGACTTGGATACACCCATGAACAAAATATTAGATACCACTAGTCTACTTGTAGTTTCACCCTCTTCACACTTTATTTGAGTGTTTAGGGCAACATTATTTATGTATTTCTTTCATCTTTTCATCAGGTATTTATAAACAAAACTGTTAGCTGCTGCTAGGCAGTAGATAGAAATTTTAAAATCCTCAATCTGTTCATATTTAAGGACACATTGATAATGGGTTTATTTGATATTTTTACCGAGCTGTTTTGAAACGAAAATCCCAATGATTTTTCAAAAGATTTTTAAAGATAGCTGCTGCTAGGAAATCGGAAGAAATTTCGATCCAAACTACAAGTATAAGCCTTCATTGTTTTTTCTTAATCTTAATCATGAATTTAAAAAACATTTAAAATTTATAAAGTCTTTTTGGACACAGCCTATATTAAAAGATCTTTTTGATCAGTGGATAATGAACTTCTAACACCAATAAATTTTTTGTGGTTTGTTTCGATTCAAAGTTTAGTTTTGTCAGCACTTTTCAGTTGAGAAGTGTAGAGTTTCTGAGAGTTTAAGTTGTTTTGGAAATATATTTGAGTAATCGTTTCTTATAACTTGTTCGACCATAATTGCCAGAAATTTCGTGTCGAATTAATATTGAGTTAGCATTGAGAATTTTCTTTATGGAATTAATAGGCCAGTTACAAGATTCATATTTTCACGCTGAACACATAGTTAAATGAATACCTTTTAATACAAAGCTGATAGTATTTAGCATTATAATGCCACTGAAAATTGAAAAGCTAGAAATTTTACGCTATATATTTTTGAAATTCAAATTATTCAGCTTAAGCTCATCGGCTTTAAATATTTATTGTATCGATATATTGAAATATTGATATAAATCTTTTGCCTAAAAATTTGGATTAATAATATGAATACTTTCTAATATTTTCCAAATGATATTTTTTAACTTTGCTGTCAAATTTTAATTTGACTGAGCAATAAATAAATGAAACGCGAAATTAAATATTATTTGGCATTGCACTGAATTAGTTAATTAGTCGTAAATATGAAGCTTTTGATTTTTCTTGAAAATAAATTAAATATTAAAATACTAAAATAAATATATTAATATTTATGTTGAAAAATTCATGAGCTTTAATGTTACTATATATTTTTGGAACTAACGAAAAGATATGTTTAAGCAATGCTTGTATTTCAATCGATTTTAGTGCAGTGCTTTTGTTTCTAAAATTAATTGGCTTTATATTTTTATAGATAAAATAATATTACTATTTTCCGCTAACTAAATTAGTATGCGAGTTGAATATTTAAAAGAAGTATTCCTTGTCCTCCTCAAATATTGAGTATAATTAACATAAGCTGTGGCTTTTGTGTTTACAAATTTCCTTAATTTAAAATTTTCAATATTTACGAATTGATATTTGAATGCATTCTTTTTGAGGTCGATTTTATTGAATTTATAAAATTGTTATTTGCTTAAAGTAATTGACAAATTTAATGTTAGTCGTATATAGCATTTGAAGGTAATATCTCCTTTTTGGGTTGCATTTCTACTATTTTGTTCACGGGTGTACAATAAGTGTGTATGTATTTGCTTTGCCGCTGCCCATGGGTCGTATGAGTAATGGAGATGTGGGAGTTTAAGGGGAAAGCACATTGGGTAGGGCGCGCGATCGTGTGGCAGCCGCAGATAGTGATAGTGTTTTGAAGTTATTGTGCAGGTATCTACTTGTATGTACATACCTACCTGTATACAAACACATATACACATTCACATATTTATAGCCATAGCTGGCATTTAAGACACATGGAAACACACCACACGCACAAACAAATATACATACATAAGTATGTGCTCGTACATATAGCGTGCGTTCGTGTGTGATGTTTGTTCACGCGCTTGCGTATACATATATTTATTGTTTAGAATAATCTTGCGCTTGATAATGAAAATGGGTCAAATTTTATAAATACACACACAAGCGACATTGCCGCCGCCGCCGCCGCCGCCACCGCCACCTCGCCTCTGCCTCTGTCTGCGCAGCGTCATCAAGAGCGTCAGCAGAGTCGGCGCTGGCGACAGCGGCGGCGCCATGCGTGTGGAGATGCGTAGAGATCGAGATCGAGCAATAGATAAAGCAAATGTTCGACTGCGAGCAACGGGCATTCAGTGGGCACTGAGCCAAACAGCGACAGAAAGAGAGAGAGAGAGTGAGGGAGAGAGTGCAAGAGAGCGAATGCATTCAGGCCAACGACCAACGCATTGACCGGGAGACTGCGTCAAATGGAGTGAGAGCTGACAATGAGATTGTGTTTCAATGCTCAAAAGCTCAGTTAGCTTGATCTTGCTTTTACTTTTACTCTCTCGCTCTCGCTCTCGCTCTCACTCGCTGCACCTGCGCCTGTGCCATTGCCTAAGCCTTGTGACTCAGCGATGGCCCCCGAAAATATAAAATATGTGTGCGCTCTGAGTGTCGTAAGTGACATCCACGTCAGTGGCTATATTGTATGTGTGTGTGTGTGTGTGGTCCTGTTCTCAATCAGAAGCTGATTTTCGTAATACCAGCGCTTTTTTGAGTAATTCTAGTGCAAGTTACTGATGATACTTAGTTTTGTGAAATAAATGATACAGACTTTGTTTTCGATAGGAATTTATTTGAATTGAAATTAAATACAAAATTTGGCAGTTTTGGGAACCAAATCGACACACAAATACATACAAGTATATGACATTTATTCCGGTTAAGATCGGAAACTGAAACTAAGCTGAACTGAAGTGTTTTACGATATCTGTTTAACACTGTTTGTGAGCTTGAAGTGTATAGATACTTAACCGAAATCGATCAGCATTGCAAACATTTTCTGTTGTTTTCGAAAACGTAAGGGTTCCTCTTCATTATAAAACCCTATTTTAAAGTTATATTCGTGACTTACACCAATATGCATAGGTAACAATGTCTGTCTGTTTCAATCAGTAATATAAACCTAATTCTGTTTTTACACGGTAGATTGATTCCAGAAAAAGTCTTAGTATTTGAAAAGTAAAGCAAAAATAATACCGCTTACAAGAATATTTAGAACAATATGTCAGGACATACTTGAATCAAAAATAATTACTGTATAGAGTCTGTTGTACGTCCTTCTTTTTTTCGGCTCCATATAGTACATAGTATATTTCCATTCAGAGAACAAGTACTTATATCTGGGCAGAATACAACAGCAAGTTTTACTTCTGGAAATCAGAAAAGATAGATCGGCTGCTTAACAAATAATAAGCTCTAACTCAACTTTTTAAATGGCATTTTTCAATACAAAAGCGTATAATGTCCCAACCAGAAACTGATCGATATTAGATTTTACTTTGATTACGATATCAATATGAATAAAAGTAAATATTAATCCATGATCTATTGCAAATCAGATGAAATTTCGGAAAGGTTTCATTCCATGTCTGAAGAAGTTGTTTTAGTAAGGATATACATATATATATATTAATTGGAAATAAGAACTTATATTGAGTTTTCCATTTTTCTAATTATCCAAATAAATCCCTATACCTACTGATCCTGACCAATTGGAATAATTATTGAACGTATTTGACAGTTGCAGAATATAATGTGATCTAAAAACCTTAGAAATACATATTTTGTAATTAAATTGACTGCTTCTGACTGTTTTAAAGATCCTATACCAGCAGTATAAAATAATAAAGTTTTATACAGTTTGAAATATACTAGTTAAGAGTCTTTATGGCATGCTTACTATATTGTTTCTAGCTGATAGAGTTCAAAAGCTATTGGTGTTCATACAGTCGAACAGACTACTTATAAAGTGGCGTCCACCACGCCTGCTTCTGCCTGTTACAACCTTTCCGACTGCTTGGCTTACCGTTTCACCTCACCCTCCCGTGATAAGGGTACAGAACAGGCCATATTTGTATTACCTTCTTTCTGACTGAATGCGTCTAGTACTTATGTCACTTTCTTTTAGAGAACTACATTTCATCCTTTAAATGCAGCTGCGCCTTGAGGAAGTTTCTTCATAAACAGATACTATGATCCTGTTTAGTTTATGAAATGTCAGATCGTAGTACGATTATTATTTTTTGTGGTAACCTCTAGCGGCAGAGCGCCCCGCGACTAGCCGAACAAATTAGTCGGCCCGGTTCGAAGTCGCTGTCGCTGTCAGAGGTAACGTCGCAGCTAGAGATACGCGCCGGCTTGGTGCGGCGTCTAACCAGTTTCAGAGTCTGTGCAGAGGGGAAGTAAATGCAAATTTTGTTGTGTCGCGGTTTGTTTTGCGTTTTTTTTTTTATTTTTTCTTTTTTTGCGTGCTTTGAAAGCGACTGCTGAGCATACTTCCGCAAATGCGCGTAACTGGCGACTGATTCGCACGTTTGAGATCAGCATGCGTCTCGTAAAGGCCATATGCCAGTCTGGGGGGTAGACAGGGCGATAAGTCTAAGTCAAAGATAATGACGCATGCTCTAATATTTTGATATTTTATTTCTTTCTCTCTCCTTCCCTCTCTATGTCTATTCTTGGCTCCTTTAGGAATTATGACACTGAGCCGTGGCCCGTACAGCGAGCTCGATAAAATGAGCCTTTTTCAAGACCTCAAACTAAAACGGCGAAAAATTGATTCAAGATGCAGCAGTGACGGCGAATCCATTGCAGACACGTCGACCTCGTCGCCGGACCTCCTGGCGCCCATGTCCCCCAAGCTGTGCGACAGCGGCACCGCCCTCGCGCTGCCGATGACGACGCTGCCGCTGAGCAGCTCAACGTCGACAGTGGCAGCGACGGCAGCAACATCGGTTGCGCCCTCAACATCCACTGTGGCCCCATCTTCAACATCAGCAGCATCCGCATCGGCATCCACATCGGTGTCTGTGGCAGCGGCAGCGTCTTCATCCTCGTCGTCCTGCACAAGCAGCACCATAACGATAACAGCCACTACAAAACCGATAAATCAATGTTCCGCTGAGGCGAAGCAACAGACTGAAATTCACTGCTCGAGCAGTGCTGTGACTGCAGCGGCGGCCTCCTCGGTGATGTCACCGCCGCCAACGGAGCACGCCCGCACCACACCACCCATGGCCGAGGGCTCCAGTGGGGGTGGTGCGGAGCGACGTGAGGCGGGCTGTGGAGAGGCGCTCTCAACGCGTGCCACGCCCACACCACCACACAACAATGGCACCTCCAGCTCCAGTAACGGCAGCGGCAGCAGTCGTGCCTCGCCTGACTCCCTGGAGGAGAAACCGTCAACGACCACCGCCGCCACAACGACAGCGGTGGCGCTGACAAGCCGCCAGAACGATACACCCACGAACGGCATACTGTCCAGCAGTGGCAAAATCAATAGCGGTGGCAACAGCGGTGGCGGCGGCGGTGGCGGCGGAGGCAGTGGCAGCCTTAGTGTCATACGATCTGTGAAGGAGGAACGCATTCTGGCCTCGCCTACAAAGATGCTGGCTTATCATCAGCACCAACATGCCCAGCTCGCCCAGCTCGGCCAGCAGGCTAAGGTGGTTGGCTCGCAGTCACAACACCATGTGACGGTGCTGGTAACGCCGTCACGCATCAAGGCGGAGCCACCACCACCAGCCTCACCATCATCCTCGTCGTCTTCGACGGTGGGCACCAGCACGCAACCGCAGTCGCTGGCAACGGTGCCAACCTCTTCCGCAACATCGTCCTCATCGATCACCTCCTCACAGCAACACATCAGTCGTGCCAGTCCGCCCTCACCACAGTCCATGCAGCATCACGCTCACACGCACGGACATGGTCATGGGCATGGACACACGTTGCCACCACCGACCATCGTCACGACACATCATCTGCACCAACAGCTGACCCAACCGCTGACGCTGCGCAAGAACAGTCCGCCCACAGAGCTGCAACTGCCGCTGCCACAGCTCGGCCAGAGCTCCCAGCATCTGCTCAACCAATCCATGCAGCATCTGACGCAGCAGCAACAGCTCCACCTGCACCACCTGCTCGGTCAGCAGCAACAGCAGCAGCAGCAGCAGCAGTCGCCCCACCAGCAGCACCAACACTCGCCACACTCACTTATACGCGTCAAGAAGGAGCCAGCAGGTGGTGGACAGCTCCTGAATCATGGCGGTGGGGTGGTTGGCAATGGCGGTACCGGTAATAGCGGTGGTGCCACACAACGGCATCTATCACCACACCACCAGCAACAACAACAACAACAACAGCAGCAACAACAACAGCAGCAGCAGCAGCAACAACAGCAGCAAAGAGAGCAACGCGAGCGGGAACAGGAGCGGGGAGCTGCAAGCCAGTTGCCACCACAGGCGCTGGGCAACATGGCGCAGGCGCTGATGCATCCGGCATCGTTGCAGTCGTTACGCCACACCAATCGTGATGCTGCCATACTGTTTCGGGTAAAGAGTGAGGTGCAGCAGCAGGTGGCGGCGGCGGCTGCCTCCGGTCTGCCACATCTGATGCAGCCAAGTGCTGCGGCCGCTGCGGCGGCAGCCCAAAGAATGGTTTGCTTCTCGAATGCTCGCATTAACGGCGTCAAGCCGGAGGTTATTGGCGGACCACTCGGCAATTTGCGGCCGGGAGGTGGTGTCGCTCAGTGCCCATCGCCACATCCGTCGTCATCGTCCTCCTCATCACAGCTCTCCCCGCAGACGCCCTCGCAGACGCCGCCGCGCGGCACTCCCACGGTCATCATGGGCGAGAGCTGTGGCGTACGCACCATGGTCTGGGGCTACGAGCCGCCACCACCCTCGGCCACGGGCCCTTCTGGTGGCAGCTCTAGTGGTGGTGGTGGAGGCTCCCATCAAACGATGGGCGGCCAGCAACAGCAGCAGCAGACGTCGCCGGCGGCGCTGCTTCAGTCCCAGGGCCATCATTGTCCGCAATCATCGCATCAGTCGGCCTCGTCACCCTCTGCCGGATCCATTACGCCCACGCATACGCCGGGCCCTTCGCCGCAGAACAATGAAGAAGCCGCACAACTGTTGCTCTCCCTGGGGCAGACACGCATTCAGGACATTCGACCGCGACCCCATCAGTTCCGGACGCCGCACGCTCTTAACATGGAACGACTCTGGGCCGGTGACTATTCGCAGCTGCCGCCCGGCCAACTACAGGCACTGAATCTAAGCGCTCAACAGCAGTGGGGCAGCTCTAATTCTTCGGGTGGCAATCGCTCCCTGGACGCACAGCATGAGCCCACGGACGAGGACGATCAGCCGTTGGTGTGCATGATCTGCGAGGATAAAGCCACCGGACTGCATTACGGCATCATCACCTGCGAAGGGTAAGTCAGACTTAAAGATTCGTTCTGCTTAGTATTAGGAAGATTTACAATCTATAATTATCTAAGATGAGGCAGCACATTGAGGGCATGTCCTTCAGTTCACAGTTTATGCTTAATCTGGCTAATTTGTTATGTTTTATTTGGGAAGCCTGTAGTTTAGTGCTTCATGAGTTCTTCAGCTCTCCCCCTGGTCTACTTCTATCAGTTAATAAATCTACAATCTTTATTCCAATAGCTGCAAAGGCTTCTTTAAACGTACGGTGCAGAATCGGCGCGTCTACACTTGCGTGGCGGATGGCACCTGCGAGATAACCAAAGCACAGCGGAACCGTTGTCAGTATTGTCGATTTAAGAAATGCATTGAGCAGGGCATGGTTCTGCAAGGTCAGTATCCAGGAGATTTGTTCTCATCTTTTCAAGATTGTTTATTCCATTTTCTTCTTTGGCTTTTAACCGTCAGCTGTTCGTGAGGACCGTATGCCTGGTGGCCGCAACAGCGGTGCGGTTTACAACCTTTACAAGGTCAAGTATAAGAAGCACAAGAAGACGAATCAGAAGCAGCAGCAACAACAGCAACAGCAGCAACAACAACAGCAGCAAATGCACTCACCACACCATCACCATGGAGCACCACAAGGTCATAGTCATGGACACGGTCACCATCCGGCGCAGCTTTCGCCGCACCACCTGCTCTCGTCGCAGCAGCAGTTGGCTGTCGCAGTGGCTGCCGCCCAACACCAGCAATCGAAACTTCTTGGGCAGGCACAGGGCGGTCTAGGTGGCGGACCCATCGGCCAGGGTGACCTGAAGCCGATGTTCCTGGGGCCAGCGGTGCTCAAGGCGGAGCATCTGCAGGTACAGCCAATGCATTCGCCGCACCATGTTGGAGCGGGTCAGCAACAACAATCTATGCCTTCGCCGCACCACACACTGCACGGCTCGCCACAGGGCCCGCCCAGTGGCAATGGGGGTGGGGCACACCATCAGCTGTCCGGCTCCCAGCAACAGCAGCATCAGCACCAGCAGCACCAGGGGCAGGGCCAGCAGCACCATAACCATCACCACCATGTGGGTATGCAGCAGCAGACAACGGTGGGTGGGGGTGCGCCCACGCCTACGAGTGCTCAGCCGGCGCTACCCTCGCATTTAGTTAACGGAACTATTTTGAAGACTGCTCTGACCAATCCCAGCGAGATTGTGCATCTGCGCCACAGGCTAGACTCTGCGGTAAGCTCGTCAAAGGATCGTCAGATCTCGTACGAGCACGCGCTAGCGATGATCCAGACGCTGATCGACTGCGATGCCATGGAGGACATTGCTACGCTGCCGCATTTCTCCGAGTTCCTCGAGGACAAGTCTGAGATAAGCGAGAAACTGTGCAACATTGGTGATTCCATTGTTCACAAGCTAGTCTCGTGGACCAAGAAGTTGCCCTTCTATCTAGAGATACCCGTCGAAATCCATACCAAGCTCTTGACGGATAAATGGCACGAGATTCTGATACTGACTACGGCCGCCTACCAGGCCCTGCACGGCAAGCGGTCCTCGAGTGGCACTGGTGCCTCTTCAGGGGCCAGCGCTACTGCCTCCACCACCACACCCACGTCCGCAACATCTGGCAGCACGCAAGTCGTGATGCCATCGCCTGGCTCGAACACACCCAACCATCACCATCATCAGCATCAACACCAGCATCAGAATCAGCACAACAACCATGGCAGCCGGCATTCGTCGCCGTCCCGAACACCAACGCCGACGCCGCCGACCACACAATACACGCATGCCCAGCCACTGCACAAGGACGATCCGGAGTTCGTGAGTGAGGTGAACTCACACCTGAGCACACTACAAACCTGCCTGACGACGCTGATGGGCCAGCCCATTGCCATGGAGCAGCTGAAGCTTGATGTGGGCCACATGGTTGACAAGATGACACAAATCACGATCATGTTCCGACGCATTAAGCTCAAGATGGAGGAGTATGTCTGCCTCAAGGTCTATATCCTGCTAAATAAAGGTACGTAGCGAGCTTGTCAGTCCCTTGCTGCCCCGAGAGAATTGCTTTTTATGTTCAATTTAAACCCATTTCCCGGTACCCAATGCCAACGCACATCAGCAGAAGTGGAGTTGGAGAGCATACAGGAGCGTTACATTCAAGTGCTGCGCTCATATCTGCAGAACTCATCACCACAAAATCCACAGGCGCGTCTCACCGAGCTACTCTCCCACATACCCGAGGTAAGGAGTGAAGTCTTTAATATAAATCGTTCATTATTGATTAATAATGATCCCCCCCCCCCCCCCTTCTTCCCAAATTGTAGATACAAGCGGCCGCCAGTTTGCTATTGGAAAGCAAAATGTTTTACGTTCCCTTTGTCCTCAACTCGGCGAGCATAAGGTAGCAATTGCTTGAGCACGGCCTGCTACAAACCTCCAGCAACGGTCCACCCAAAGAACCCCAACAACAGCAGCAGCAGCAACAGCAGCAGCAGCAGCAACAACAACAGCAGTCAGCAGAAGGAGCTCCTCCACAATTCGAACAAGCAGTGAGACTCGCGCGCCTAAGCACCAACAAGGCTCAGCAGGAGTCGAGCGGCACTGAACGTGAAGCTCTGCTGCTCGACTTGCCGAAGATCAAAATAGAGATAGGAGCGACCAAGCCGGTTGTGTTGCCGTTACCATTACCGTTGCCTTTACCGTTGCAATTACCGCTATCCGCTGCCAGCACAACCACCGCCCCCGCGACCACATCTATACTGAAAACATCGTTGCTAACCGGCGCGGCAGCCACACTCGCCACCCTAACAGCGGCTGCTGAGCAGATCGCCCGTTCTGCTACCAACCACAGCAACAACAACAACAACAACAACAACTTGCCACTGCCATTCGCAACTATGGACACTGCCAAGCGATCGGCGATGCATTCAAACACTGCCACATCATCGAATGCCCCAGCAACAGCAACCGCCACAGCAACACTGTCAACAGCAATCAGCAACAACAGTTTAGAAGAGAGCAAAAGACTTGAATATCAGCAGCAGCAGCAGCAGCAACAACAACAACAACAATATACTTCAATACTGCAAACGGTTTTATTGTCACAACGGCCAACGGCTGCCACAAAAACGACGGCAGCAACAGCAGCAGCAACATCGACGACAACGGCAACATGCAGTGTCTTGACGGCAGCAACAACACCGTCCACATCGCCAACGACGGCGCAGGTGCTTAAGACGGCGGTGACATTGGCCAGCCTGAGCGAAATCGCAGCCGCACGCCAGCGACAGCAGCAGCAGCAGCAACAACAGCAGCAGCAGCAACAACAACTGCTGGTGCTGCAGCAGCAACAAAAACAGCTTAAGCTATGCAGAAGGATTATTAATATAAGCAACAACAACAGCAACAACAACACTGCCACAACCACTGCCAAGGCGACAGCAATAGCAACAGGAGCAGCAGCAACAATTGCAACAAAAGCAGAGGCGATGTGCAATATCAGCGATAAGTTGTATATAAGTCAAACGGTGAACGGTAAGCCAATGAAATAATTGCACAAGCAAATGATTATTTCAAAGTATATACATATATACATATACATATATATATATATTAAATGTTGCCAGCAGCGACAGCAGTTATAACAAATGGTGGCAGCAACAACAACAACAGCAGCAGCAGCAGCAGCGGCAACAGCCATCAGCAGCAGCAAATGCGAGCAGCTGAGAGAAGCAAAACAACGCAAACCATAGCCACGGCAACGATACACACACAGACTGATGAGCTATTGGTTGCAACAACAACAACAGCAGCAATAAACATGCCCACATTTTCATTAACAACGCGCGCAGCAATGCAACAATGGACTGCCGTGTCGACGACGACAACAACAACAACAACAACAACGACGACGACGACACAAACAACACAAACAACACAACAAGCAAACAAAACACAACAGCCAGCACAACCACCACAACCACCACAAGCACAACCACAACCACAATCAACAATAGCACAACCACAGCCACCACAAATAGCCGCCGCTCTGTCCATGTCCGTAAACACCGCCGCCGCCGCAGCCGCAGCAGCAGCCGTAATGAACGGCAACAGCCGCCCGGCAACGCTCACAGCTAATGCAACAACCACAGCAACCACAACAACCACCACAGCCACAGCCACACGCACGCCTGCGACCTCAGCTTCTGTTACTGTAGTTGTGTTCAAAACAATGTTACCTGATGACTGAATTATTTTAGAGACGTAAAGCATGTTTTATTATTTTTATTTGAAACACTATTATTATTATCATCATTATTATTATTATTATTATTATTATTATTATTATTACATACATAATGTACCACGTACCATGTATTTTAATATATATATATATATATACATATATATATGTATACATTTTTTTTTTATTGTAATTGTCTAACTGTTGGATTTTGTAGGTTTAGTTTTTAAATCCTGAACAAGCACAGCCACTAGCCACTAGCCATTACACTAAACCACACACACACACACACACACACACACACTTACAAACACACTCACGCATATATATATATATATATAGAGTATATTTAGTCGATAAGTACATACGAGTATACATATGTATTCACTGCTGTTTAACTGCTTTTGTGTTATGGAAAGTGTGTGTTGTTTGTTTGTTTGTTTGTTTGTCTTCAACTTTCGATTTGTAATTTTTTTTTTTTCAATTACAATGTGTGTGTCGAGTTCGCGCCTAAGCTAAACATTTTAAAACGAGCAAACATTATATACAAAATACAATACCTAAGCTAAGTGTTAACATATACATACATACATACATGCATACATGCATGCACACACACACACACACACACGTATATACATGGGTGTGTTTGTGTGTGTGTGTGTGTTGTGTGAAGTCTACGTAGCCAGCTATAGAGATGCGACGACGCATGCAGCAGAATATTTTTTTTTTACAAACATATATATATATATATATAACAAGCATATACACCTAGAATAAACAATTATATATAGAGATATATATATAAAATGAATGAAAGCAAAGAAAATCAACCACATAAAGTATAAAATAGTTTATTATTATTATTAAAATTATATTATGCTAGTTTGTTAGGCAATTAGTATTTTAAGGCAACAACATAGTAGGAAATTTACAATTAGAAACTGTTGCTGCGCAGCCATAGCTGTTGCTGCCAACGCCACCACCACTAGCAGCACCACCAACACCACAACAACAACCACAACAACAACCACTGGCAGTGGTTGGTGGCTGTAGTGGCAACAGTTATCGCTGTGGCAAGTTAATCAAAGTGAATGCAAATTGGGCGAAGAAGCGAACGACGAAATAAAATGTTGTGTGGAATTCTTCTTCTTTAAATTATCACAATGGCATATTATGTAAACTTAGTTTAAAATATTTACTAAACGCTAGTAAAGCAACATGTTACATACTATATATACTTACACACACACACACACATACAACAAACACACACACATAAACACACGCAAACGACAAAAAAAAAAAAGCAAAAACAAAAGTTGAAATTGAAAACATACAAAGCGCCTTGATCTTCAGCAACATACTGCTCAGCAACAGCAACCCTTTCATCCGCAACATACCGCTCAGCAACAACACCATTTTCATCAGGTACATCAACCGCTCATCAACAGCAACTTCATTAGCAACAGCTACATCCTACTCAGCAACATGTATTCGCCTCATCATCAACATGCTCATCAATTCTGCATTGCAACATGTTTCGCATTATGTATTTATGTATTGTATTGTATTGTATGTGTGCATATCTATATGTTTGTATGTTATATTATATATCCTATATATAGCAACTACTTAAAAAGCTAAATCCAACCCTCCCTCCCCCCCTCCCCCATTCCTTAATCGTCGGCACAACCATTTACCGTTGTACTGGGCGCGGCTTATGGGCAGGCTAGCGCGCAAGCGAGCGAACCAACGACGTAAGCAATAGCAACATTTGCATAGCAACATCACCACCCACAGCAACAACAACTACAATATGTATACATGCATACAAACAGATGTAGAAACAAAGCTGCAATAACAAACACAACAACAACAACAACAAACACAAGAAACGAAGCAATGTCCAAAGGCTTAGCCAAATTTTTTAAAACCAAAACAAACAAACAAACAAAAAAAGAGAAAAACAAAAAACTAAGCAAATTTTTGTTTGCAAGAAGTTGCCTTAAACGAAAAACAACAAAAAAAATTTCTAAATATTTCACAGCAATGTTTCCAATGTTTGGGCGTTGCTTCGATTGCTGTACTTAGAGAACAGTGTACATATGTATGTTTGTCACATACCCTCACACACACACACACACACATACACACACACACACCAATAAAGAAACATATAAGAGTAAGTTACGCATACGTATAATTACAATTAACAATATATATACAAACAAATATATATATATACATACATACACCTAAATCTAATTATAATTATTCATATTTTTAATACACACACACACAATTACGCATTGTACACACACACACACATACATGAAGAGAAAACTTTTTTTTTTTGAGAACGTCGTCGTAATCGTAACCATAACCGTAACCGTAACCCTATCACTATACCACGCTATATATATACATATATAGTAGATATCGTCAACCCCGATATCGTCGTACTACGTTTATTGTAAATGTATTAATTTTTGTTGATTTTTTTGCTGTCTGTGTACTTTTAATTTCCTTTTTTTTTTGAACATTTTTAATAAATGTAATTCTTACAAATTTTATTTTATTTTCTCTATTATGTGATGTTCCTGAATGTTCCCACAGTATATAAAGTATATATATATACCTGTATATATACTTGTACTTTGAAATTCCCCAACGAATTCCGAACATGTGAGTTCGCCGATGAAGTTACCGCAATTGCTAAAAAGCGGAACTGTTATTACTGAAAAGCGGATTTCTAAAAAGCAGAACACAAGTACATACTATTCACATACGTTTCAAATTCGCAAAAACTGATTACTTTTGGTTAAAAGAATTGTTTCGGAGGCAAGATTTTAAGCCTTCAAAAGCTAAGAAGCTTTTGGAAACCTAGTGTAGATAAATTCACAAAACCTATAAGAATATGTCCATCAATATGGAGAAGCACTTTGCGGATGTTTCAGTATTTGAGAAAGTGATGAATGGAATGGATATGCTTCTAATTTGGAAAGCCCAAAATTTTGTGAAGCTCTGCAGAATGAAGAACTGTTCTCTGACGCGGGGAAACTAATTGCGGAACATTCATTAAAAAAAATATAATGATTCCATATTTGTTTCTGTCTTGGAGGAGAACCCATAACTTTTTCAAATAGTTTTATTCTCTGAAAATTACACTATTTGCGGATAATATGTGAGAGTTGCAAAATTGAGGAAAATGATGAAGGGGAATGTGCTTGGAGAGCAC